CCGCGGCCGCCCGTAGAGGCTCTTCTGGATCTTCTTGAGGCCCAGGTGGGCTATTTCTAGGATGTTGAGGAACAGGGAGACCGCGGCGATGCTGTTCATGAAAACCATAAAGACGGTCTTCTCTGTGGGTCGGGACACAAAACAATCCACCGTGTTAGGGCATGGGGGCCGAGTGCATTTGTAAAGGGGGGACATGTGAAACCCGTATAAAAGATACTGACCTATCATAAAGCCCACTTCGACCACCGACCGGGTCAGGATATGTAGGACATAGGTGCGCAGCAGGGACCCTCTCAGGGGTGCCTTATTCACTTTCTTCTGTTCCTCCAGCTTACGCAGCTCCCTCTCCACTCTCCTGTGTTCCTCAGGCATGGGCTCCAGGTCTTCCAGCTGAGCCCGCAGGTGGGCTTTCCTCTTCTGTCGCTCTTTCTCGAGAGCCCTTAATCTATAGAGCGCGTGGCCCATGTAAACAAGCGATGGAGAAGAGACAAATATGATCTGCAGTACCCAGTATCTGATCAAAGAGATGGGGAAGGCTTTGTCATAACAGATATTGCTGCAGCCAGGTTGCTCTGTGTTGCAGATGAACTCGGACTGCTCATCGTCCCAGACATCTTCGGCAGCCACTCCCAGCACCAGCATCCGGAATATGAACAGGATTGTGAGCCAGATTTTGCCAACTATGGTGGAGTGGATGTGCACTTCTTCAAGGACGCTGCCCAACAGGTTCCAGTCCCCCATGGTCAGAAGTTCATATCTGAAATACAAAAACTGATGTTATTTTAATACAATACTGGATTTCTTTTGGAAATGGCCCTTTTTAGTATTTTTTTAAAATAATAAACTTTCATATGCATTCTTCTGATAGCAGGAAAGCTCTTAGAAGTTAATCATTATTTTCTGCTTACTAGGTCTTTAAATGAATGCAGACTTCATGATTACTGGTGAAAGATGCAAATGTGAGATTATTTTAAGCTTAAGAGAGATTGATTTCAGCTATAAGCCACAGTACTTCTTAACTGCCTACAGTTTTACACTATTTTCTTCCCACTAGGAAAGAAGACAATTTTTTCCCACTTCGCAAATCCAACTGTAGTTTAATTCTACACCCACTCCATTCCACTGTCTGTGGCTTTGCATAGTTTTGCCATAATATGTAATGTTCATGGCTTTCACTCGTTTGATAAAGTTTTGAGAAGTATCCTATAACTGTGACAGAAAAATGTAGGTAGTACCATTATTAGTGCCATCCATCCAGTATTTTCCCATCTACCAGGGTAACAATCCACAAGTTTCTCGCTTGGATTCCTAAAACTACAAATACATAGCTAATTTACACATACCTGTACATATATAAATAGTCTCAGTTCTAGGATTATGTTGATAAACTAAGAGTGCTTCTAGGATTAATATCTTCAATTTTATGCATTTAAAGTCTTACTGAATCACCAAGACTTTGTCTTAATTATAAATTTCAACATATGAGATAAATAAAACAGGGATTACGTAATGGAGTGATGTGGAGGTTTTTAGCTGTGAGTGTGAGACGATCCTTTTAACTGCCTCTTTCCCAGAAGCTCTTTGATTCACCAGCGAATTGATCTACGTTCTGCTGCCAGATGCTTGATTTCCAAGCTGCTTCTCTGGAAATTATTCAGGAGCTTCAGGTAATGTGGGGAATCGAAATGCAAGTTATTTGTCTGCTTATTTGTGAATGCACTGCACATTTGGTGTTGTGTCCCTGGAATTCTTTCTGCTAACCTGGTAATAAAATATTGAAAACAACTGGGGTCATACCTATCTTAGGGTTCACACTTAAATTTTTTATGCTACTGTACTTTCAAAACTTCCCAAATTCCACTAAACCACAACCTTTAGTAAAGTGCAATTTCTAAGCTTTTTTGAGAGTGGCTGGTTGCGGTACCCAAAATCTTACACAGTTTTAACTGATAGCAATTTTAATTGATAGCACAGCTGGGTGATATCACCATTATCAATATAGCTTGGTTATGGTTATATGTGATCCCATGTAGTACGATTCTTCTTGAAGGCTGTATTTATCCACACTGCAAGTAAAGATTTTCAGTTGTAACCAACAGCGCAGTCATTCTCTCCATAGGCATCCTACAGACTTTATTATTACATTTCTAGGATTTGGGTTTTCTCCGCAAATTTGAATTTTCACAATGAACTTCCCTTTTGACACAGGGAACTGGTTGAGGAAACCTAGCTAGTCAAGCAATTTCTTAGGTGCTGTGAGGCACTTGAAATATCTTCTTTCCCTGCTCCTTCCTTCCCGTGTATGCCATTGAAGTAAGATACATAAAAAAAACGTCAGCAAGAATTATTGTAGTCCATTTTCCTCATCTTTAAAGAACAATGTCCGATCTTTCTTTTGACTTCGTATGGATTTTATTCACAGCAGATATCAATTTGTTGCAATGTCATAGGTTGGGTGGGTATAAAGATGTTCATATGTTGAAACATTTACTGGAAAATGTTACATCTCAAGCTAACAATGTTGAACCTATTTTTCCAAGCTTGGAAGTGCTGATACAGAATAGTTCACCTTCAGTAAAGCAAGAAGCAGAGGTTTACATAGAGCAAGCTCCCAAACCCAGAGTACTCAAGAGGCCAAGTGCAAGTGGGTGGCACTTGCTGATTGCTCTGTGCCACTTCCCCTGAAAGGTGACTGAATGACAGCAACACGACAGTTAAGCAAAGGACCTTTGGGTATATTTGCTGCCTTGCAAATGGCTGATCCCTCACTGAAATTGGTAGACTCCGCAAAAAAACCCAAGGGAGATGCTAAAATATAAACGCAGGAGTAAAAGGGAAAGGAGACGTGTTTTAATCCCAAAGATGAAATGCTCGCATTCCTCTAGCAGTAGGAATTATCATTGCCCGTTTTGGAACAGAAAGTGAATGTAACCATTCGGGGTAAGAAAGGACAAGAAAAGGACTATAAACGTATCGCTCTGGCTCTACAGATGTGTTTGTTTCTTAAGTTGTTTCTACCAGTATTTAAACAACTCTATCCTCACCTTTCCTTTATAGCAGCCAACAGGGTAGAGTAATTGTAGGAGTCGTCTAATTCACTCTCTAATTGAGCTTATTTACCAAGACGTTTTCCCTCAAATCTGCACAGTATAAATATTGACATGAAGAACGTTGTCTATAAAGTAAAGAAGTTAGTCTAGAGCCATGAAAGCCAGAGTTTCTAAGAAATCAGCCAAAACTACTTTACAACCTTGTCATAGCAATGTGCTCCCAATTTTTCCATCTTTCCCTTCCCTGGTCTTATATGAGTTCTGTGTAACAGAGTAATTTCAGTTTAATATAAGAGAGTAATCTCAAATATTGTTGATATCATTATTTCCAGTCTACTAGTAGACTAGAAATTCTAGTATTCTGGTATACTAGCCTAGTATTCCAGGAATATACCAATTTTAGTATAGTTAGTACATACCTGAGAAATTCTCATTATACCATCTGACTACTTCTGTGTCTGTCCAAATATTTCTATATGGTTATTTCAAACAATAAAAATTCATGCATGTAATCAGTTAGAACCAGATGGAAATCCACCATTTGTCTTGGAGGAAGTTTCTTTATTTCTTGTTTTTGTTACTTCTTTGTTTTAAAGTTCATTTGATCATTTGCCGCTATTCAAATCACTTCTATATTAAATTTATGCCAGGTTTTCATCAGCTGTGATTTGAAAAAGCAGAGTTAAACCTTAAATTTCTTGTCAGAAAAAGTTAAATCCTAAGATGCAAATACTCCTGGGTTTAATTCGCGTTGCCTCGAGTCTGACAGGGACCTGCCTGCTCCGTACTGCCCTAGGAAGAATTATTTTTCTGCCGCTTACCTTAGGAGAAAGCCCTTGGTTAGTCTATCTTAGACCATTGCAGAAGGAGCACGCAGCGCTGCTGATTGCTATAGCTCAGAGACCTTCCTTCGACAGTGCTAGGACATCTTTTTTTTTTCCCAAGAGCCAAAGCATAGACGTGGTTCGCTGAGCGGACTGCTCAGTTCTTTGTAGCTGGATGCCAAGATCACTCAGTCTAAACTATCCGTGCATGGTTTAAAAATCATCAGATGATAGGATGGTGCCTCTAGACAAAATTATCATGCAATTATTTTAGTCAGTGGCATCTAACAAAGCCATTCCCTCAAGGCTCGATCTGTATGGCAATAGCTTGCAACGTCCCTATGCCTTCTTTTAGTCGGTTCTTCAAACATTACGCCTCCACTCAGCTCCCAAATTAAGTTTTATTTTGTAAAATGGATAAATAGGCACCCTTTACAGTACAATAGATTCTTACATTTTCTTTACATTCCATTAGTTTCGCTTTGAATCAATGCCCAAAGATCGATCGGTCATGTCCGATTTCATACTCTGTTGCCTGGTGAGTTAATTTAGGATGTGTTAGACTGAGTCTTTGACAATGGAGGCCACAGGAACCGAGACTCAAGTCTTCAGTTAGAAACACAGGCTTTCGGCACGGCAACCTTCTTCAGCTGGGTTAAAGAGTCACCCCCAAGCCCATTCAGAATTGGTATCTGTGAGAAACAAGGCCTAAAAAAGGAAGAGTTGCCAGAATGGGATTTTGTGAGAAATCAGGGCCACCAGAGCTGAGGCTCTGATACTAAGAGCTTCTGATGCCTAGTCCTGCCCAGGCCTAAATTTTATGGAAATCCCAAATACTCATTTTTTTTCTCTCTTGCTCCAGAACTTCTGGCCCTTTTCTTCCATCCTGCAAGGTGCGTGACTCATTTGCACTGTAGCCTCTTCTCCCTAGAGGTATTCCCACTAACCAGTGGCCAGTTCTCAAAAGACATTAGCCCCCACCTCTTCCTTGGGATTATCTCAGATTTGTGTACCAGTGCACCCCTCTCTCTCGCACAAGCTGTACTCATTTCCCTGAAAGTCCTGTTTAAATACGCCTTCAGAGCCTTGCCCTGCAGCAGATGAGGTGGCTACAGCACCTTTGCTCTAGCCTCAGTCTAATGCAGCGGATGTATGGCTTACGCATATGTTACAAACGCTTTAGGGGCGGTAGCGCTACACTTTCTACCCCTGAGAGACGTGTTAATATTGATCCAAACCACCCAGGCCTCCACAGGCCTTTCTCATCCATGTGCTCTCACGCTCTGCCTCAAGCCCACATACTCTCATGTACCTGTCACTGGCATTTTATTTCCATGCCTCTTCTTTCCAAATTCGGTCACAATAGCCCCTAAGGCTTTACCTTGCTGCTTCAGTTGTCTCAGAGCTTCGACTCAGGCCTGAGTGCCCTGTGCTGCCTCACCAGAAGGTGGTGTTGACCCGACATCTCCAGCGGCTTCCACAGCTCCCGGGTGTTTCTCAGGAGCATCCTCTTCAGCTCTGGTCACTGGGAAAACTGGAGAACTGGGCAAGAGCTGCAGCACCTGCGATTTATTCATCCTGTCGGAGGATGCGCTTTGTCGCTCACTGCAGAAGCAGCTTGTTCTTGGCCCAGCACGTTCCTGTCCCAGCTTTTCTCCCCCTCAGCAGGTCACAGCCCCAGAAGCCCAGGCTGCCTACCTCACTGCCCTCAGAGCAACCTGCGGTAAGGTTTTGCTTTTTTTTGGGGGACAGGGGAGGTGACAGTAGCTTGCTTAGGGATAATTTGCCATGTTTCTGCTTTAGCAGCAGAATAATTGGTGGTGTTAAAGGACTGCTCATGCAAGCTTGTTAATGGACTGTACAATTA